TGCTCTCATGACATCTGGTAACTACAAATACCCTGTTATAATCAATCACTAAATCTGTATATAAAAGTTTATATAAACAACGTGTCATTCATACATCCAATTTGTTCCCTATTGCAGCAACACTAATAAACAACGAGGGTAACCCCATCACGGATCACACCGACGCCCCGACCACCCCATTTGTGCTCGGGTCGGGTTTTCTCAACCCAACAAAGGCAGTCGACCCGGGACTTGTCTACGACGCCTCTCACACGGACTATCTCGTCTTCCTCTGCAGCATCGGGGAGTACAATCTCACTGGTTCCTTTAAATGCCCCGAAAACCCACCATCTCCGGGTAATCTAAACTACCCGTCTATCGCAATACCCAAACTGAGAGGCACCGTCACAGTCCGTAGGACCGTCACCAACGTTGGCTGTCGTGGGGTCATTTATTATTCGAGCGTCCAATCTCCACCGTGGATCACCGTGAAAATAACCCCGGCTGTACTTTATTTCGGTCGTGAACGTGAGAAGAAAAATTTCACTGTCACGGTGAAGATGAATTGTTCGTTTTCGGGGAAGATTGAGAAAGGACAGTATGGCTTCGGACGGCTCAAGTGGTCCGACGGCGTTCATGATGTGGTCAGCCCGCTTGCTGTCTCTGTGGCTTAGTTTCCTTGATACCAAAAACGTTGTTCTTTTAATGAACTTCCAAATAAAAAGGTACTATACAAAAATTGAACTGAAAGCAATGAATGAAGAGTTGATAGACATAAGACCGATTATGTATGTCACAAGGCCTTCAAAGATTTCCAACTCTTGGTTTTCATAATCAGCAAACATTAAACAAAAAGTAGCTGTCCAAGCAGATATTAAAGCATATCTTCAATTCATATGTGAGGTATGATGTGAGTAATCTGAATAAAAAATGAGAATGAATCAAAGGTATCAACAAAATAAAACTAACAATATAGATATCCTTCATAAAAGTGGTGTAATTAATTAATAAAATAAATATAAAAGCACAAATATGTAAAATATATATATATATATATTGTAATCTTTAAACTAAAAATTGGGCAGTGATATACAAGATTGGTTGTTATATTTATTTTTATAATCTATATTAAACATTTATTTTTAAAATTGGTGAAAAGTATTAGTGCCCAATTTATTTTTTCAATATGTTGGTTTTTATGTTCTTAATAGATAACTAGTGTGCATATA